ATTCCAGTACACACCGGCATATACCATGGCCAATGGTGCAATGGCATTATGATATGGCGATATATCAAATGCAAGGATTATTATTATTATAATACTACACTGAAGACCAAAATGGGGTTTACCCACCAGGAAACAATTACTCTTGGATCATTCTCCCGACATGTTGTATTGTTTTATACCTTTAATTTCTCAACTCAATTCTCAGTCGTAAAACATCGGATGACTGAATAAGAAGCATGTTTCATTCTAATATCTACTATTATTACTATCTACTGTGACTAATTTAGATAATTTATCTAGCAGCACACGGGACAATTTATTTTAAAATATTAACAAAACATTAATATATTGTGCAAAACATGGGTGTGCAGCACCATCTCCTGGTAACATTCAGTCATACTGTCAGCCCCACGCAGACATAAGCCGTCATAGAATCATAGAATTGTGCAGGATAGAAGGAGACTGTTCGGCCCATCATGTCTGTGTCATATTTTAATGTCAATAAGCCGGCACCATTGACTTTGGGGGAACCCTCCTTCCCCAATGCTGCGTGATCCAATGGAATGGTGTGAACTTTCAGGGGAGATATAATAATAATAATCCTCACATTTGATTGATACAGTGCCTTTCACGTCTTTGAGACATCTCAAAGGACTTCACAGAATATACTGTAAAGTGAATTGACTGTATATTTTCTGGTCAAAACATGGAAGCCAATAGTGCTAAGCAGTGTCCCACATACAGTCGTGGATTGAGCGACCAATATTTTTTTTAAGGAATTATTACCCTCAGAAAGCGATCCGCCAATTGACAAATATCCTACTTACTGCTAGGTAAACAGAGGCATGTGGAGTAAAGAAACTTGCCCAACCTTCCACCCTGCCGGGAATAGAACCCAGGTCTCTCACTTGCTCGGCACCACTCTAGTGCTCTAACCACTGAGCTACAGAATTAGATGTTTAAGCGCTTTCACTTTTTGATGCTGAAAATATAAAAATATTAACTTAAGAATAGTTTCAAGTTAGCCTCAAAACAGTAGTTAAAATAACGACCATAAATAGGAATTGTATATCAAAAATGACAACAAAAAAGTGTACAATGGAATCAGAACATTTGCCCAAAACCTGCCGAGACTATCTCAGCAGCATGGCAGTGCTGAATCAATTGGAAAATTATTCAGGCTCTGTTTAGCAATTCTAATCCACAAAGAAATAATTCCTGCTCTTCTTGGTCAAGAATGGGGCACTGCATCAGGGCAGACACAGTGTCTGGGTTTATAATTTATCACTCAAGTAATATCTGCAATGATGTGTGAGAGACTAATGGGTGTTCTGTCAGCAAGAACAATTACTTTTCTGTCACGGGATTATTAAATCCCATTTAATTGCAATTATTTCTTGCAACCAATGATCATTTCTGTCAGCTCAACATGTGGGAAAAGCAAGAGTTATAAATAAACTAAAAGAGGACATTGTAGAAAGCTCCTGCCCATGACAGCATTGACCTCCTACTCTTGGAAGTTTAGCTAACTTTAGCAGCAGAGGATATATATTTACATATGGTGTAAGAGAGAGAAGGGGGTTTCTCTCTCGATGTCCTGGCCAACAATCCTGTAGTTCACGGCTGTTTTTGAGGCATTGCTTATATGCCTCTTGGAATACACAGTAAACCCTGTGAAGCACTTTGAGATGTTTTGATGATGTGATACGGCGCTATATTAAATGAAAGGACTCTTATTATAATATCCCAGGCATTGCCCTGGCTGGAGAGAAGAAAATCCCAACATTGCTGTTTCTGATCTCCTCTCCCACTGGGGCGTGCGGACAGTGAGGAATGGCCAATGGAGTCAGGCTCGGATGTCATAGGAACATAGGAACAGGAGGAGGCCTGTAGCTCAGTGGTTGGAGCGCTCGCTTTGGAAGCGAGAGACCTGGGTTCCATTCCCGGCAGGGCGAAATGGTGGGCAAGTTTGCTTATTCCACACGCGTCTGTTTACCGAGCAGTAAGTAGGAACCTGGTTATTAGTCGATTGGCGGATCGCTTTTCTGGGGATAATAATTCCTCAAGAAAAGAAAACAATAATAATTTGGTCACTCAATCCCAAACTGTTTGTGGGACGCTGCTGTACGCAATTGGCTGCCGTGCTTCGCCCACAAATATACAGTCAATTCACTTTACAGTGTATTCTGTGAAGCTCTTTGAGATGTCGAGAAGACATGAAAAGCTCTATATCAAATGCAATGATTATTATTATATTCATCCCCTCAAACCTGTTGAAAACCTGCCCATCGTGTCTGTGTCGGCTCTTTCAAAAGAGCTTTTTCAAATCAACCCCACTCCCCCACTCTCCCCACAGCCCTGATCAACCTCACTCCCTCTCTCTCCCCATAGCCCTGATCAACCCCACTCCCTCTCTCTCCCCATAGCCCTGATCAACCCCACTCCCTCTCTCTCCCCATAGCCCTGATCAACCCCACTCCCTCTCTCTCCCCATAGCCCTGATCAACCCCACTCCCTCTCTCTCCCCATAGCCGTCATCAACCCCACTCCCCAGCCCTCTCCCCATAGCCCTGATCAACCCCACTCCCCCCCTTTCTCCTCATAGCCCTGATCAACCCCACTCCCCCCCTCTCTCCCCATAGCCCCGATCAACCCCACTCCCCCACTCTCCCCACAGCCCTGATCAACCCCACTCCCCCCCTCTCCCCATAGCCCTGATCAACCCCACTCCCCCACTCTCCCATAGCCCTGATCAGCCCCACTCCCCCGCTCTCTCCCCATAGACCTGATCAACCCCACTCCCCCACTCTCTCCCCATAGCCCTGCCAACTTGTTCTCCCCAAATAATTATCTACTTCTCTCTAAAAAGTTGTTATCGAATTGGCTTCCACCAGCCTTTCAGGCCATGCATTCTATAAGATCATGGCTGATCTGTACCTCGACTCCTATAACCCGCATCCCTGACCTAACAAATATCTATCCACCTCAGACATCTCCTCCCCCTGGCTGATCTGGGGGAAACCGGCCGTCTTCTTCCTGCGGTTGCTGTGTGACTCACACAACAACACAATTACATTTGTCTAGTGCTTTTCATGTCGGGACGATGTACTAAGGCTCTGGACAGTCAATGATTGGGACCCGAGCTGGGGGTCGGGATTGGGGAGGGTGGAGGGCAAAGAGGGAAAGGGAGGGGACCGAAAGCACGATTGAAAAGGAGGGTCTTGAGATGTGTCTTGAAGGAAGCAAGGAAAAGGGCAAGGCGGAGGATGGAATTCCAGAGGGTGGGGGCAGTGACTAAAGGTCCACCTGCCAATGAGGGTGTGGGCAAGGCAGGGGCATGAAGCAGACCAGAGCCCGCTGAGCGGCGGGAGCGAACAGGATGTTAGGGGGTTAGGAGGTGGCAGAGGTCGGGGGGAGCGAGGCCATGGAAGGCTTTGAAGGTGACAAGCAGGATCTTGAAGTATATCCTCTGTATGATGGGAAGCCAGTGGAGTTGGGCGAGGATGGGGGTGATAGGGTCGCAGAGCCTGGTGTGGGAGAGGACATGAGCTGCAGAGTTCTGGATGATCTGAAGCCTGTGGAGGAAGGAGTTGGGGAGGCCGACAAGCAGGGAGTTTGCATAGTGAAGTCTCAATGTAATGAAGGCGTGTATGAGGGTTTTGGCGGCCTGTGGTGTGAGACAGTGTCGGAGCCGGGCGATGTTGCAGAGGTGGGGGAAGGCACGGATGTGGGGTAGAAAGGATAGTTGAGGGTCAAACATGACCCCAAGGTTCCGGACTGGCTCAGTGAGGTGGAGTGTGCGACCATGGTGGTGATGCTGTCAGCACCTGAGGCGAGGAGGCGCTGCTGGGAGCCAATCAGGAGCCTCGGTCTTGTTCACGTTCAACTGAAGAGTTAACTCTCATCCAGGACTTGATGTCTGACTCAGGGCAGCAGTGGGTCCTGGAGTCAAGGGTAGAGAGATACAGTTGGGTGTCATCCACATAAATATGGAAGTTGACCCCATGTCTGCGGATGATGTCACCAAGAGAGAGCATATAGATGTTGAAGAGGAGGGGACCAAGGACAGAGCCCTGAGGAACGTCGCACGAGACAGTCCGGGGACTAGAGGAGAAGCCATTTGTTGAGATGAAGTGCAGGCGGTGTGAGATGTACGTCCTCCCGACGTGAAAGGCGCTCTATAAATGCAATCTTGTTGTTGTTGTACGATCTGAACCAGTCAGGGACAGCGCCGTGAAGGTTGAGGTGTGAGGAGAGGCGGTGGATGAGGATAAAGTGGTCAACGGCGTCCAAAGCAGCAGAGAGGTCAAGGAGGACGAGGAGGCAGAGGGAGCCCTGGACACAGATGGACAGAATGTCATTTGTCACTGGGGCTGGGGTTAGGGTTGGGGCGGTTTCTGTGCTGTGGGCGGCACGGAAACCCAATTGGAGGGGTTCGAGAAGGGAGTGATGGGAGAGGAAGGAGCGAAGCTGAGAAGCAGCAACTCGTTCCAGGACCCTGGAGAGGAAGGGGAGGTTGGAGATGGGGGGCAGTTATGGAGTGGACAAGGGACCAGGGAGGGTTTTTAAGGATCGGAATGATGATGGGGTGGGACGTCTGGAAGACGTGACGAGCGCTATATCAAATGCAAGGATTATTATTATTATATTATTATGACAGTGGCGTTTAATGGAGTGGGAACAGTACCAGAGGACAGAGAGAGTCACTACACAGTCACTACACATCGGGTGACTGGCTCGGCTCCTCCCATTGTCAGCCCAGAGGTCAGTGACCCCCAGTGATGCCGGTCAGATAGGTGGGCGGGGCCTGTCTCTGGATGGGCGGGACCTGTCTCTGGATGGGCGGGACCTGTCTCTGGAGGGGCGGGACCTGTCTCTGGAAGGGCGGGACCTGTCTCTGGAGGGGCGGGGCCTGTCTCTGGAGGGGCGGAGACTCTCTCTGGAGGGGCGTGGCCTCTCCGGAGGGGGGCCTGTCCGGAGGGCGGGGCATGTCTCTGGGGGGCAGGGCCTCTCTGGGGGGCGGGGCGAGTGCGTGCGCAGGCTGAGCTGGACCCGGATTGCGGGTGAGTGTAACCGCGGGGCCCGGGCCCGGGGGCGGGGGTCGGGGCTGGGAATTCAGGCCGCGGCTTCAGGCCGCACCCGGGGCCGGGAGGTGGGAGCCGGGGCTCCAGGCCGGGGCCGGGGCCGGGGCCTGTACTGCCGCTGCTTCCCGGTGGCGGCGCTGCTCAATAGGGCCCGTTTGAAAGTCTGAGGGCGCACTGACTGCCCGGGCCGGGGGGGCGGGGGGCTGTGTGGGTGGGGGGCTGTGTGGGTGGGGGCTGGGCGGGGGGTGGGGGCCGGGGGCTGGGCGGGGGGTGGGCGGGGGGGTGGGGGGGGGCTGGGGGGGGGGGGGGGGGGTGGGGGGGGGTGGGGGCGGGGGGGGGCGGTGGGGGGCTGGGGCGGGGCTGGGGGGGGTGGGTGGGGGCGGGGGGGGGGGGCGGGTGGGCGGGTGGGGGGGGGGGGGGGGTGGGGGGTGGGGGGCTGGGGGGGGGGGGTGGGGGTGGGGGCGGGTGGGGGGTGGGGGGGGGTGGGGGGCGGGGGGGGGGTGGGGGCGGGGGGGGCTGGGGGGGGGGGGGGGGGGGGGGGGGGGGTGGGGGGGGGGTGGGGGCGGGGTGGGGGGGCTGGGTGGGGGGCTGGGGGCGGTGGGGGGGGGCTGGGGGGGGGGGGTGGGGGTGGTCTGGGATCAGGACCAGTTTATCTATTCCGATGGACATTAAAGATCCCATTTGCACTGTGTGAAAAGAGAATGGTGTCTCTGTCTCACAGTGTTCTGCCCAACAATTCATCATAACTTCATGGCTATTTGAGGCACATTTGTGTTTGTGAATTGTATACAGAAATAAATTTTGACTTTGTGAGGGTCACACAAGTGAGACTGCAGAAAAGTTTATTATTTTAACCGTGAACACATACCCTTGTACTGTAGTGCCGGGTATATTGTGCAATGAGAGTATTGACTGGATATAGAATGTGCAACACGGAAAACATGGCCCAACCAGTCTGTGTGGGTGTTTATACTGATACCCACTCCTTACTCCCTTCCTCTTCCCCTCTCCCTCATGTGAGGGTCTATCTTCCTCTTGAATGCTTCTAAACCATTGATTAAACCACGGCTTTAGGCAGAGAGGTGCACAATCTGACCACCCTCTGCATGAAGAAGTTCCTCCTAAATTCTCTTTTTGCTGCCCTGGTCATATCTTATATTTGTGTTCCCTGGTTACAGATGCCCACCAACCATTGCTGTTAACCTTATCAAACCCTTTATAATCTTAAACACTTCTATTTGGTTTCTTCTTTATGTTTAATGTCGCCCACTAACATTTTATTCATACTGTTGAGTTGCAGTCTGGATTTAGTTTCTGAGTGGCGAGTGTGGATTGAGCAGAGCCGGTATCTCGTACTGTCACTCATTTACCTCGGGAAACCCGGCTATACCTTCAACCGGGTTGAGAAGCGAGAGGTCACGTTCCGCACATGTAGCTAATTGCCGTCTAAAATCTTTACACTTGTGTGGAAATAACGACATACACATTGGCAAAATCACGTTGGGTTTCCTTTATTTTTGGGGTGGCTGAGGTTCTGACATGGTCTCTCCAGAGCGCCCGTGAGGTTCCAGAAGGCACAAGTGGCTTCATGTTTGCCTAGAAATACAGTTACTGCACTTGGGTTTCTGTGAAGCACATTTCAGTTATGGCAGCACAGAAGGAGGCCATTCGGCCCATCGTGTCTGTGCTGAAAAGAGCTTCCAAATCAACCCCACTCCCCCGCTCCCTGCCCATAGCCCTGATCAACCCCACTCCCCCCTCTCTCTCCCCATAGCCCTGATCAACCCCACTCCCCCGCTCTCTCCCCATAGCCCTGATCAACCCCACTCCCCCCCTCTCTCTCCCCATAGCCCTGATCAACCCCACTCCCCCGCTCTCTCCCCATAGCCCTGATCAACCCCACTCCCCCTCTCTCTCCCCATAGCCCTGATCAACCCCACTCCCCCTCTCTCTCCCCATAGCCCTGCAAACTCCCCAAATATATATCTATTTCTCTCTTAAAAATTCTTATCGACTCGGCTTCCACCAGCCTTTCAGGCCATGCATTCCAGATCCCAACAACTCTGTTTCTTTTAACAACTATTTTAAATTGGCAGTGGGAATAGTTTCTCCTGTTCACCCTATCCAATCCCCTCATAATTTTGAAAAATTTGAAATAATTTCTCTGAACATTCGGGTGCAAAAGAAGCGTCTGATTAACATAAATATAATCTGAAATAGATGGTCCTCCCGCCCCTCCTCCCTCCCTCCTCACCTCTCCATTCTCTTCCACCCCCTCCTCCTCCCTCTCTCCCTCCCTCCCCCCCTCCCTCATTTCTCTCCCCTCCCCCCCTCCTCTCCATCCTCCCTTCCCTCCTCTCCCCTCCCTCCCTCCTCTCCCCTCCCTCCCTCCTCTCCCCTCCCTCCCTCTCCCTCCTCTCCCCTCTCTCCCTCCTCTCCGCTCTCTCCCTCCTCCCTCCCTCCTCTCCCCTCCCTCCTCTCCCTCCCTCCTCTCCCCTCCCTCCCTCCCTCCTCTCCCCTCTCTCCCTCCTCTCTCTCCCTTCCTCCTCTCCCCTCTCTCCCTCCCTCCCTCCTCTCCCCTCTCCCCCTCTCTCTCCCTCTCCCTCTCTCCCTCCCTCCCTCCCTCTCTCCCTCCCCTCCTCCCTCCCTCCCTCCTCCCTCCCTCCCTTCCTCCCTCCTCCCTCCTCTCCTCCCCTCCCTCCCTCCCTCCTCTCCCTCCCTCCCTCCCTCCTCTCCCTCCCTCCCTCCCTCCTCTCCCTCTCTCCTCCTTCCTCCCTCCTCTCCTCTCTCTCCCTTCCTCCTCTCCCCTCTCTCCCTCCCTCCCTCCTCTCCCCTCTCCCCTCTCTCTCTCCTCTCCCCTCTCTCCCTCCCTCCCTCCTCTCCCCTCTCTCCCTCCCTCCTCTCCCTCCCTCCTCTCCCCTCCCTCCCTCCCTCCCTCCCTCTCTCCTCCTCTCCCTCCCTCCTCTCCCTCCCTCCTCTCCCCTCCTCTCCCTCCCTCCTCTCCCCTCCCTCCCTCCCTTGGAAATGATCTTCTGTAAATGTTCTGAATTAATTTTAACCTTTAATGTAGATTCATACTTGGGAAAGATTACTGAAAATACAAAAGCAACCAATGTTCTTCAAGCCACAGTTGGAAAGAGAGCTAAGTGTTTTGAAAAAATGATAGTTTATACAAAAGCGTTAGGTCCTGACTTTTTGCAGAGGGGAGACTATGGATGAGAAGGCATTTCCTGTTATCTCAAGTACTATCATCTCTTTGTAATGAAGGTGTTTTGCCAAGTTGCCTTTGACTGTTTTTTAAGCAGTTATATATTACTGGCTGTGTAACTGCACGTTCTATTGCAGGATATACACCTGTCTGTCTGTCTGTCTAATACAAGAACAGAGAGAGCTGGGAACCCTCAGCAGGTCAGGCAGCATCTGTGGAGAAAAGAAAGTGAGTCAACGTTTCAGGTCCACGACCCTTCATCAGAATAGACGATGAAGGGTTGTGATTCCGAAATGTTGTCTCACTTTCCTTTCTTCATTGATGCTGCCTGACCTGCTGAGGGTTCCCAGCTCTCTCTGTTCTTGTTTCAGATTCCAGCATCTGCAGTATTTTGTGTTTTATTGTCTGTCTAATATTACTGTTCAGGTCCATCCTATCCCACCTCTCTGCCTTCCCTCACCCCTCCCCCCGGCTCGGGCCCCGACACCTGACTGTTCAGCGCTTTGGGACATCCTCCCGACGTGAAAGGCGCTCTATAAATGTCATTTTGTTGTTGTTGTAATTATATAATTTATATTCATACTGCACCTTTAACGTTGGACAACGTTTCAAAGTGCTTCAAATTGTTTACCACCCTCCATTTGTTAATGATTTGATTCCTTTGAGTTCTTATCTGCTTCAGAATAACTAAATGTGTTTCCTGGCGTTAAAAATATTGTATCTCTCAGAGTGACTTGCGTGCACATGCATTAGATGTGTAACCTCCTCCTGAATCATATAATGTGCTATTTACTCTTTGTGTTCCTTATATAATTGCTGCTCTGTGTTGAATATCCTGCACTCAACTTTCCTCTGTAAAGGAAGATTGCACAAGGTTTACTTTGTGCACAATTTAAATAGCTGGAGGTATCTCGTGACAGTCCAAATTCCTTGTGATGCAATCTCTGGGCGTGGGCTGCAGCTGGTAACATCAACTGGAACGTTCTCCTGCCATAAAGAGCCAGGCAATGGCTGCGCTGGTTGATCATTCGTTTCCTTTGTTGTTAGAAAGCACAGTAAATACCCCAGGTGTGCTTTATATTGGCGATGCAGTAGTAAGCACTATTATATTAGAGTGACAGCTTCTGATATCCTAGACCACCTTGAGTGGATTTATAGTCTACAGACCGGCGAGTATTCCAAACTGTTATCAAAATCACTTGGTCTTTCAGTGGTGTACATGGCAGTGCAGGTGAAAGTCCTGTGTTAATCCTTGTGATATCAGGGAAGGTGCTGCAGGCTGGCTCAGGGAGACAGACGCTGAGAGCTGGAGAGAGAGAGCTGCGGAGAAGTGAAGGTTGGGATGAGTGATCTGCACATGATGCTCTTTAGAAACCTAGTTTTTCCAACTTTAACTTTCAGCTTATGAGAGGAATGAGAATGTCATTAATTGCCTGTTCCACATGTTTCGAAGTTACGATATCCCCTCACATTGTTCTGAGATCGCGTTATGGCCTGATGATGTAGTGAAATTTATGTATTGTAAAGTGTGGAATGTGTTGTATGGGGCTGCAATGATATTAATAAGATTTGAACATTCCATTTCATACCATGTTTCTGGAACTCCATTCCCAGATCCCTCGGCCTTACTTGCTCCCTCCCCTCTTTCAAAGCCACATCTCAAAACCTCTTTGACCGTGCTTTTGGCCATTTTTCCCCCTCTTCAGCCCCCTCGGCTCCGATTCCAATCTAGAATTGTCGAAAGGCGCTGTAAAAGTGTAAATTGTATTGTGTCTCATCTCCTATGGTACATTAATGTTTAACTGGTTTATTCAGACACCTGGTGAAAATAGTTGTGCTTTGAAGCTATTTAAGTGTGTGTTTCAATTGAAGATTTTGCTTTTCAGAAAAGCAGGAATCTGCAGAATAAGCTGGTGTTCATTGGAATGATTTATTGCCTTGCCGTGGAGAGGGAAAAACATTTTTTTATAGGCTGTACACTACAAACCGTCTCTTACTGAAGATTTCCAGTTTCTAATTATTTTGAAGAACATGACAGGTGGAAAAAGGAACCAAAAGATTGTGGAAAATGAATTCAGATCTTACATAAAACCTACAAACCACCCTGTCCGGCTAGTGCTGTGTGGGTTGAAATTGTTGATGTAAATCAAATTTGGAAATAATTTAGTGTGACACTTGAATGTGTAGGTCAATATCTCCGAATTTCCTGGTAAGGTCTCTACAATCGATCTATCACTGTCTGTCGAAAGACGTACGGCCGATTCACAGAAGAAATGGTCTGACGTGACTCTGGGACTAGGAGACTGAGCAACTACCTGACAGAGGCCGATGCTGGGGACAGAACAGATTAATGGAGAGTAGGTGCTGAGTATCCGGCAGGTACTGCAAGGGCGAATAGAGCTCTGGACAGTGTGTGAGTGAGTGTTCACTGTGGTCAGAGTGTGGGTGAGTGTTCACTGTGGTCAGTGTGTGGGTGAGTGTTCACTGCGGTCAGTGTGTGGGTGAGTGTTCACTGTGGTCAGTGTGTGGGTGAGTGTTCACTGTGGTCAGTGTGTGGGTGAGTGTTCACTGCGGTCAGTGTGTGGGTGAGTGTTCACTGCGGTCAGTGTGTGGGTGAGTGGTGTGTGGGTGAGTGTTCACTGTGGTCAGTGTGTGGGTGAGTGTTCACTGTGGTCAGTGTGTGGGTGAGTGTTCACTGCGGTCAGTGTGTGGGTGAGTGTTCACTGTGGTCAGTGTGTGGGTGAGTGTTCACTGTGGTCAGTGTGTGGGTGAGTGTTCACTGCGGTCAGTGTGTGGGTGAGTGTTCACTGCGGTCAGTGTGTGGGTGAGTGTTCACTGCGGTCAGTGTGTGGGTGAGTGTTCACTGCGGTCAGTGTGTGGGTGAGTGTTCACTGTGGTCAGTGTGTGGGTGAGTGTTCACTGTGGTCAGTGTGTGGGTGAGTGTTCACTGTGGTCAGTGTGTGGGTGAGTGTTCACTGTGGTCAGTGTGTGGGTGAGTGTTCACTGTGGTCAGTGTGTGGGTGAGTGTTCACTGTGGTCAGTGTGTGGGTGAGTGTTTACTCATCAGTGTGAGGGTGAGTCGTGTATAGCAGTGAGCAGAGGGAGTGCTGGCAGGACCGCTTGGGTTTGCCCTGTATTTCTCGTGACCAGTTGGAATCTCATCAAGATTGCTCCCTCCCTTGCCTTCTTCAAAGCACATCTCAAGAACTTCCTCTTTGACTGCGAATTCAGCCATCCTCCCATCCCTAACCTCCCTGTCCTTCACCCTCCCTGATCCCAAAGCCCAGCTCAGTTCCTAATCCCTGACTGTACAGTGCCCTGGGACATCCTCCTGACGTAATAGGCACTGTGTAAATGTAATTTGTGGTTGTGGTTGTTGTCTGGAGTGGCTGACGTTAGTGATGACAAATCGATGTTTGTCTAAACTCAGGTTTTGCTGATGGACAGTGAGGTGTGGATGTGAAGTGATGTGCAATCAGTGTGAGACGGATATGATGAATATCAGAATCAATGTCACTTTCCAGTGGGTAGAACAAGGGAAAGGTTGACCACATTGTGGACTGTTGCCCAGGTGAAGGTGCAGTATTACAAGACTTGCAGTAATACTGTACCAGCTGTTCTCCAGTCTGATCAGCCAGGCTGACTCAGCCTCTCGCTTTGTGTGCCACTGGCTGACCTCCGATAAAATCCGTCCCTTCCTGGCTGTTTGTGGAGTAATGCTGGGCTGCCAAGTTTGCCTACGAAAGACATGTTTGCTACGATTGACAGTAAATCCCTTGACTTATCAAATGCAAGGATTATTATTATTTTGTTATTTGGAGACCAACAGGAGGGTGTGAATGAGTGGCTAATTCCAGGATTTAAGCAACTGAATAGTTCAGTTATTTTTTAGTGACAAATTTGGAATAACAGCTGTGGATTTTTTTGGGTTCTTTGACAAATACAGAAACCCATCACCTGCTTAAGAGTATCCAAACCAAGCTGAGATTTCCCTGCCTCCCACCTACACATGGAAATCCCAGCGATAGATTGTTGGTATGGAATGCACTCTCTCTCCCTGTAGGGACACATCCTGCTTTACTTAATTCCAGAAAGTGTTACGTGCAGGTTAGCAAGAGCCAAGGCTTGGCGGGAGCGCAGAGTGCGCGGAGGGGTCTACCCAGCTAAAACCAGTTCAATTCTGACATTCCATTTAGACACGTCACCTTGGAGCCACTTTAACTGCAACGAGAGGCCATACGTGGGGAGAGGAATGGTAGGTAATAGAATAGATAAAAGCTATCTGGAGACAAAATAAATCTTTGTTTATAAGTCTCCCAGGTCATGGATCCAGACTGAGCCTAAACAGACTGATTTTGCATCTAATCGAGGCTCCTTGATGTACCACTTATGGGGATAGTAGCTCAGTGGCCAGAGCGCTCGCCTCGCAAGCGAGAGGCCTGGGTTCGATTCCCAGCAGGGCAAAACCTTGTGCAGGTTTTCTTACTGTACACGCCTGATAATAATCCCTCAAGAAAAAAAACAATCACTTCAATTCACAACTGTTTGTGGGACGCTGCTGTGTGCAATTGGCTGCCGAATTTCACCAACAAATATACAGTCAATTCACTTTATAGAATATTCTGTGAAGCGCTTTGAGACGTCGAGACATGAAAAGCGCTATATCAAATGCAAGGATTATAGTAATATAACAGTGTAACTGCTGAGAACCTGGCCTTGTGCTCACAATGAACCCGTGAAACAGATAAAGCTTCTGAGTCTGGCTGAGCTGCTGACCAGGGCAGCCCCAGGAATCGCCTCTTTAATGCCATTTTAAAAATAATTATTTCTACTTGTGATTTGTTTGCTGAATGTTTTACTCTCGGCAGATGTTTCTGAAGATCAACGTGTTTTTTTTTCTCCCCTCTCTCTCTTTCCTTCCCCTTTGCTGTTGAGAAAGCCTGGGATACTGGGAGCTGCTGAGGGCCTGTCACTCTCAGCAGCATAAAAAGGGTTAAATCCACGTCTCTCCGTTTATTCCCACCTTCTGCCTTTGGCATCTAAAGCTGAGATCAGGGACTAGCACTGATTGTGATTCAGACATCAGACATTCAGGGCGTGATGGGCTACCGGTGAGCTCCCTTGGACGTATTTCCAGTCACTGGTTTAACTGAAACAAGGATCTGCTGTCATTTGATTGTTATTTCCTTTCAGCAGAGAAATGGAGGCTCCTGAGTTGCCGGTACCTGAGGGCCTGGATTCTTCAGCTGTCTCAAGCGAGGATTCGTTCTTCAGTTTCTTCGATATCTTTCTCTTCTCACTCATCGCCGCGTTCACCGTCTACTGGTTCTTCTTCAGGAAAAAAAAGGAGGAGATCCCCGATTACAGACCATTACAGACTCCGTAAGTGTTTCAGTGGGGGTGTTGGGGGGAGTGGGGTGCTGGGAGGGCAGGGAAATGGAGCTGAAAGAATAGATCTTGAATAGCCCACCCATATCCGGTGGCGAAATGTCTGAGAAGCTTTTTTTTCCAGGAATGTTGGGTCTGGTGACCTGCGTGAGACATGACAGAGCCTCCACTGGCCGCTAACAATATCATAATGATGATTTTATCACTAACTAGTAGTGATGTGTATTAACTGGCCTTGTTCACTGGGATACAAATCGCAGGATCTTTCCCATCCTCTGTGACAAGTGGTGGTGCTGGGAATCCCAAGGAAATACTTCATCCCTGTCAATATAATGAATCCTTCCCATCCACCTGGTGAATTTTCCAAGCCCACAAAGAATATCCGTTTAATGAAAACTCAAATATTCAGCTTTGCTTTGAGGGACGGGATTCTGACCCTTTCACTCACTCCTCCATTGACTCATCCTCGGCAGGAGTCCGGGGTTAAGTGGGTTTGAGGCTTCGCTGCAGCCTGTAAACCTGAAGCTGAGGATGGGCTCAGACACCAGTATGATTTGAGTAGGTCCCTGACAATGAGTTAGTCAGTTACAGCAAGGGTTAGACATTCCCAGGACAAAGGGTTGGACAAACCACAACCAGTCATGAAGTGAATGACCAATGTTATTGGGGGAAGATTGCTGGCCAGGACACTGGGAGAAACTCGAATCTTTATCGTCCACTTGAACAGGCACAGGTGCTGCCTCGGTTTTTAACGTCTCGTGTAAAGGACAGAAACTCCAAAATTGCGGTTTCCCAGCGGCTGCACTGGAGCTGAGGCTGTAGGATCTTGGGGACTTGAACCCGCAGCCTTCTGTTGTGACTGGGAGGTGAGAGCTCGAGCATTGAGCCGGGCTCCAAAACATAACAGCCTAAAGAATCAATCTGTACCTTCCCGAGTTATAACTTTTGATTTTAGCCACAGTCGCTGATATTTCTCGTGTCTAAGCATAAGCACACAGCAGCGAAGACAAGTATGGCCTCCAGATACAGACAGGCCAGATTCATTGACATTCGCCTCACTGCCTTCACTGGTCCCTTACCTGGATCCATTGTTGACGAGGATTCCCTCCCGGATTGTGAGGGTACAGTAATACCACACTAACAGGAAGTTGAACAAAGAGTCGATCACCCTGCAGAAAAGATAAGCATTATACACAGAAACAGGAGGAGGCTATTCAGCCCTTCAAGCCTGTTGCACCATTTTATAATATCACGGCTGATCTGTACCTCAAGTCCAGTTCCCCCCCCTTGCCCCATATGCCTTGATATCCTGACCTAAGTAATATTTATCTACCTCTGTCTTAAACAAGGCCAGAACAAGGCCTTCTGTAGGCAATGCCATGAGTCTCTATATGAACATTGTGTGGCAGGAAGGAGCAACTTTCATGAGTCAATGACATTTCACTGATTAGAACAGAATAGATGCCCAAACCCTGGTCTGATTAACAGACACTAGGCATTCTCCAAGCTGCAATCTGACCAAGGACATGTATCTGCACGGCATTGCTTCCATTATCTGGACAATAACTTACCTAGAGTTTAGCAAGAACCTGCAAGTGAAGGAGATGAGGAGGAGGATGATCGTGAGGTACAGTTTGAACTTCTCATACTCATCCTTGTAGGCAAACCTGCAACGTGTAAAAAGAGTCAGTCACTCACCAGGTTCAAACAGGTCAAAGGTTTCTCCAGAAGCAGGTTTGGGTGATGACGGGTGACTTACTTGGCCTGTTTGCTGAGCAGAGTCACATTGACGTTTCCCAGGACCAGATTCAAATACAATCTGCAACAATAACAAAGTGACAGCCTTTCAGTTTGCAAACAGTTTGATTGTTTGGCTGTTTCTGGTTATTACTCTGGCCTGAAAGGCTGGTGGAAGCCGATTCAATAACAACTTTTCAGAGAGTAGACAATTGTTTGGGGAGGACAAGTTTGCAGGGCTATGGGGAGAGAGTGGGGGAGTGGGGTTGATCGGGGCTATGGGGAGAGAGCGGAGGAGTGGGATTGATTTGGAAGCTCTTTTCAAAGAGCGGCACAGACACGATGAGCCGAATGGCCTCCTTCTGCACTGTATAATTCTATGATTTCATGTTCTGATAATAATAATAATCCTTGCATTTGATATCACGTCTTTGAGACGTCTCAAAGCGCTTCACAGGATACACCGTAAAGTGAATTTACTGTATATTTTGTGGGCGAAACAGATGATAATCAGATGACACCACAACACGCTGGTCTCCGGCCGGGAGCAAGCGGAAAACAAGAGGAACATTTGCCTCAAGAAAACATATTCGAGAAGCGCAGCTCATATCAGTGTCAGAATTTACCCAAATTCAGGATTTTCCTGAACCTTCATTTTGCCAGCTTCCCTAATGGTTCATTTGATAAAAACTACTGCATCCTGACGAACCCTATTCCTTACTCTGATCCTGGCTCCAACCCCTCACCCTCTGCCATATAATAATCCTTGTGAATGTCTGTGTTTATTGTGATTAGAAGCCAATTGATGGTTACACTAGTCAGCAAATAATCAGAGGCTTCCAGAGAAGAAAAGAGGGAAAGAAGGAAATAAATCTCTATCCTCCAAAGTGAAGCAGAAGTTACAGAATCCTATCAAAATCGCAGGTTTTGTTTAATTAAAATCAAACATGGAAATAAGTTAAATAAAATGACGCCTGGAACTGTAACGCAAAGTGCCTCGCTGACATTTAGACAATTAATTCCACACGGCAATTATTGACCCATTTTTCTTCGGGAGGAAAGCCTCCATTTCAAAGAAGACATTTTGCCGTTCCTTCATCATCTCCTGGAT